TACCGCGCCTCCTTGTCCCTTAATGTTACAATTACCAGGGAAATCCTGATAGATGGGTTCGATCATTTTTTATGCTCTTTCCAACGCCGTGCCGATTGTTTCTCTATGACATGTAGTTATTGCTGTACAGAAAGCCTACCTGTGCCGGCCTACCGGTGCTCGAATCTAGTGGTGTCTTCTGGGGAATACATATAAGAAAAATCCATAGTTGAGGTTTAAAAAACTTTTTGATATCATTATTGGTTGCTGAATAAAATCTACCTGACAGATATTATGAAAACCCCTAAATGATTATAATATAATATTAATGACATTAGTTCCTTTAATAAATTTATTTAATGACTTACTTTATGAAATTAATAGTTTATGGTAGGATCAAATAAATTACGAAATCACTAGTCTCTTTATTATCATTATTTTGTTTCCTTAATTAATTGTATAATTTAATAATATGGTAGAGTAGTCACCAACCAATATGGTATATTACAAACTACTGTACTATTAGATTTTAATTAAGTTTTAAAAAACATCAATGAAAGTGGTAGTAAACATCACTAAATGTATAGCATTAACAACACATTATTTATAAAAATAATTTACTTTTCCCGTGTCTTAAATTACACAGTTTGTTTAGTACGCAAATATTAGTCGCAAAATTTATGTCCAAAAATGTTAATCAAGCGTTTGAAACACTAATGGTTATGGAAAAAGGATTAATCCTGAGGTCGAGTTATACGCAAACAAACGGCTGTTAATGTTTGTGAAATATGTCAAACGTATTGGGTTAACGAAAAAAAACATTAATATTTGGTAGAAAAAAGCATATTTCACTATTAACTCTAAATTGATTAATGGATTTGAATTGCAAATACCATCTCCAGCGACAAATGGTCAGTGAAAACTACTCAGGGGAACGGGTTGTAAAACTATAACGGACTGAGAGGTCCAGTTAAATGAAATGACGGGATGTATGCTTGTATTGCACTGATATCACGGGTTATTTGCCAAACTTCCGTTTAAGTTACAAAAAAATTTCATTTATCATTGCGATTGTGATGTATAGTTAGCTAAATGTGTGAGAATGGAGAGGGCCTGTAGTCGAGAGAGAGAGAGAGAGAGAGAGAGAGAGGCCTGTAGTCAGCCCTCAGAGTCTCTGTTCGTCTTTCATCCGAACAGTCATTCCTCTGACCATAACTACAGACTATAACTCACTTTTCTTGGTCTCCAAAATGCTATCTTTCGGTGGTTTGTAAGCAATGGATATATGAATATGCGATCCAAACAACCGCTTCCTTTCAATGCATTTCTGATGACAATAGCTATGAATTTGTTCATTCATTCACACCATTCACTCCCATATTTACCTGAATTATGAGTTATGATTTGAATCGCAAACATCATGTTTGCTGAATAACAATATTTTGATTTTATTTGCGAAATATATATTACAGGAAATGATTATTACATCAAATAAATTTTATTTTTCAGACTTTTTTAACAAAACAATTTGAAGGTTAAGAATATTTTTACATTTGAAATATTCTTAACACGAGAGAGGGAGAGAGAGAGAAAGAGAGAGAGAGAGAGAGAGAGAAAGAGAGAGAGAGAGAAAATACAGTATTTTATAAAATTATTATCATTTATAATATTCTGTTATTTGTTAATAATATTTGAACTACAATATTGAAAAATAAGAAAAAATAAAATTATTTGACATAAATTGACTCAACAAATATTAATAAACGTATGATATCATAGATAACTTATTACACACAATAGATCATATTTTATATTTATTAATTATTTTCATTTATTAAATCATCGCATTTGAAGGATAAATAGTTGAACCAATAAAGACATAACTATAGTAACTAATATTCAAAACTTATGATAAACTTAAAATTAAACATCTCTAATGACATTTAATTTAATTTAATATACAGTAATGAGTCCTAACTTGTGATGCACTTTAGCTCTGGCTATAAACCAATTGAGACTCTCGTTAAAGAGTTCACAATATATACGGAATTTAATAATAATTTAGAAATTAATAGTTTATTCCAACTTATATTGTAAATCATTAATTGGGTCATTGAATGTCCTATTATTGCAAATCAACGCTGAATTTGTTATATTAACTTATCACTCACCTAAATTGTTAATTACGTCTCTAACTTTAGTTGAGTATACATCACGATAAGATACCATTGTTACTTACAGTCTCATTATTTCTCACATTATCTCAACACATATTTTCAGGATTGCATTGAGAATCGCATCACTGGCTAAACACCAACTCTTACACCAGTTTTCACACGGAATAACTCAATGATAGTAAGAAGTCATGTTTGCTATCACTTGAAGTGTATGCTATGTTTTTGGTTTATTTTTATCTCACTTTCTCTCTCTCTCTCTCTCTCTCTCTCTCTCTCTCTCCTCAATCTCATCACAACTTTGTGTGTATTCATGACTTATCTATCCTATGAATCGTCAACAAAGACACAGACGTAGATATGGATGACATTCACGGGAAATCGCTTGTCATGTATTTTATATTATTTTTATGTCTTGTATCACTTGCGGGATGTGATAAATACCGGATCGGAGTGGGAATCGGCGATATCACTGGCCCCGCCGCTGATATTAACATGGTATTTATGACTTGGATAATGATTTATCACATGATTGTAAATTAACCATTGTCTCAATGAATAGATGGGTTACGCAAAGCCGGGTCAGGACACCCATGGCATCCATTTAAGACTCTTCAGCAGAACCGCTATCATTGAAGACCTCTCGGGAAACAGAGTTTGTTTCGTCTCATCGGATATCGCAATGATTTCACAACTCCTTAAATTAGAGGTCAAATTCAGTATTTTATTTGTAAGTTCAATAGTTATGTAAATAATAAATTAACTTATGTTATTATCCTATAATTATAAAGTATTTAATAACTTTAACAAACTTATCAAAAGTAACTGAAAATACGTTACTATGTCAACACATGACATTCCATGAGTACTAACGATAAAACCTGTAGTATACTTTATAATTATATAATACCTGGCCTGACATACAGGTGGTCAAAGTTCTGGAGCAGAAATACAAAGGGGTGTACACTATAAACAACGTGATGCTGACCTCCACGCACACCCATTCAGGTCCGGCCGGATTTCTGCAATACATTCTGTATATAATATCATCGCAAGGATTCATTGAACAAAACTTTAATGCCATCAGAGATGGTTAGCAGGCGCCGTATCTGTCCCGAGTGGTATTGTACTGACTCCCGATATATATGTATTTTTGCCCTGTTAATGACCTGCGGTCGCAATTATCCTCAGGTTGCCGAATACGGTTGTTATGCTTCCTCCAAAGGGATAGATATGACTACAACACCGACAAGAATATGACTGTCCTTAAGCTGACCGATAGTAATGGTCGGGGTTTGGGTGCGATCTCGTGGTTCGCAGTTCACGCCACGTCTATGAACAACACCAACAAACTGATTAGCGGTGATAATAAGGGCTACGCCTCGCAACTCTTTGAACAGGACATGAATGGGGGTTCACTCCACGGGAAGGTATGTCCACAATATTGTCATTTGTTATTAAATCTATTAATTACAGAAAAAATTGGCATTATTTTTAGGGGCCATTCGTGGCGCTGTTCCCGCAGTCCAATGAGGGCGACGTCTCGCCTAATATTAATGGACCCTTTTGTTTGGACACTGGATTGCCGTGCGATGCCATCACCAGTACTTGCGGTGGACGGGTATGTATTAATATTTTTAAAATATACTTTTAAGTGTTAATTTATTGTAATATTGAACGCGAAGAACGAGAACTGTGTGGCCTCTGGTCCGGGCAGTGATATGTTTGAAAGCACTAAAATCATTGGTTACCGGCAGTACGCCAAAGCCAAAGAGCTGTACAACGGCGCCGACACTCAACTGTCCGGAAAAGTGCAATACATTCACCAAACGATAAACATGTCTGACGTGACCATTCAATTTCCGGACAATACGACTGGAAAGACATGTGCGGCGGCCATGGGTTATAGTTTTGCCGCCGGAACCACCGACGGACCTGGTGCTTTTGACTTTCGTCAGGGTATATATTAGTGTATTATGTGCTTTCTGTTGTGAAATTAATGATTAATTTGGCGTACAGGTGACACGAGTACGAGTCCCTTCTGGAATTTGGTCCGCAATCTAATCAGGACACCATCGAAGCAGATAATTGAGTGCCAAACCCCTAAACCTATTCTGTTCCCCACGGGAGAGATGAAGTTCCCGTATTTGTGGGAACCGTCTGTATTGCCGACACAGATATTCAGGATCGGAGGCCTTCTTATTATAGCGGTTCCCGCGGAGTTCACTACAATGTCCGGCCGTAGACTTCGAGATGCAGTCAAAGTGGCCTTTGATAAACACGTGCCAAACAGTGATGTGGATGTTGTGATCGCAGGTCTGGCCAACGCTTACTCGTCGTATGTGACGACTTTTGAAGAGTATGTCCATTAAAATAGTTAATAAAACATTATGTGATTTAATGTTAAATATATATCCTTTTAGATACCAAATCCAACGCTATGAGGGCGCCTCCACTCTGTTTGGTCCGTACACTCTGGACGCGTATATTCAACAATACAGTAGATTAGCCACGAGTTTAGCCAAAGGCGTGTCAGTAGATCCGGGACCCGCCGAACCCAATCTTCTAAGTCAACAAATATGTCTCAAACCGGGCGTTATATACGACGGCGCGCCGTTCGGCAAGAGGTTTGGCGATGTGTTGGCGGACGCCAACGACCGCTACAGTCCCGGTGACAGAGTTAAAGTGACTTTCGTGAGCGCCAACCCCAGGAATGACGTGAGAGCTGAGAGCACTTTCCTCGCCATAGAGAGATTGAATGCCACCTCTTCTAATTGGACTCTCATTGCCACCGATGCCAACTGGGAGACCAGGTATGTGAGATGGGGTGTTGACATGTGATCAAACTATCATTACTGACCATAAATAGGTGTTTACATAGTCTAAAATAACCGCGGCTTGGTTGTGTAAGAAGCCGCTCTCACTTCACCTATAACAAACCCTATAAGGAGTCCTATAGCTCCGGCCGTTCAATCGGGTCAGACATTTTGGGAACAGTAAGAATTTGATGCAAACTATTAGGACATATGTCGGGGTAAGTCTCAGAAAATACTATAATACCATTCATAATAAAAATATCACTTTTAATGCCTTTTCAGACATCAAAAACTTTCGACATTATTCGCTAAACAGTGTAAAGAATTTCTAGTCTTTTGTTTTTTACAATATTTGTGAATAGAATTTATTATTTAAAAATTTATACAATATTTAATTAAATTGATTATTTAAATTAAAAAATTAATAATTATAATAATAAATATTAATAATAAAGTTCATATTTAATATAAACTACAATAGATTTGTTTGTTTTATCATAAATTATATTTGCAATCAAATTCATTTGAAAAGAGATCACAATTTCTCGCCCGTCAGGTCCGGAATGGCGTTATAGTAGGAGTGGTCGGGAAACCTGTCTAACTCGATGTAATCATTTTCGCTTATTAACAGTTTGTCTAAATACTCCACTAATTGCGTGAACGTGGGTCTCTGGTTGGGCTCCCGGTCCCAACAGTAGTACATAATATTATACATCTCGCGTTTGCAGTGCTCGGGCTTCAGGAGTCGGTTGCCTTCGCGCACGTATTTTATCACTTCAGCCGCGGCTAACCCGGGGTATGGCGTTCCGCCCAGAGTTACGATCTCCCACATCAGTATACCTGGAAGTAGGGAAATGGAGGTTTAGTTTGAATACGCGACTCGTTTTAGCAAATTATATTAGTTTTTACCGAAACTCCAGACATCACTCTTGGAGGTGAAGATGGAGTCAATCAGTGACTCGATAGCCATCCATCGGATTGGTAACCGACCCTAAAATAGATTCAAATGTTAGCGCATTTGTTGCGATTATGTCGTCAACCGTTAGTGTACCTCAGATTTGCGTTCATAAACATGATTGGCCACCACATCCCTCGCAAATCCAAAGTCAGCCACTTTTATAGTGTTATTATTTCCGACCAAAACATTTCTTGCGGCCAAATCTCTGTGTATTATCTGTTTGTCAAACAAAATAAATTTATTAGTTTTGACTGATTCTGTGTATCATTAATAAAATCATATTAAATGATTAAAATACTGACCCCTTTGGAGGAAAGGTATTCCATAGCTTTTGCCACTTGATATGCAAAGGATGTCAGATCTCTGGCCGACAACCGATTACTACTGGCGTGAAGATTGCCGTAATAGCGGTCGGAATTGCGTTCCCGACTGTCCCTCAAATATGACTGCAATTTGCCGTACGGAACGAACTCCATGATCAGGAACACGGGATCCCTGTCCGTACAGCTGCCCAATAGGGTGACCACATTGGGGTGCGGGTCAAGCATTTTCATGATCTCCAGTTCCGTCAGTAAATCCTTTTTCTCCTTTTCGGATGCGTTCTCTTTAAGAGTCTTAACGGCGACGATATCTTTAGCGTCGTTGTTGAATATATTGAAGGCCTCGCACTTCCACACCTGACCGAAACAGCCCTCGCCCAGGATGCCCATGAAGTGGAGGTGATGGCGGGGAAACTCCCACATCCTGTCCTCGCCGACCGGTATATTCAGAGTAGACGTGTATTTGTTGGGCTCACTCTTACTCTGGAGAGACTTTTTGGCCCGAATTTGGGCGAAGAGAGCGCCGTTGTAGTCGAGCTCAGCCGACACGGAGCTGATGCTCGTCTCACTACTGCTGCCGGCTTTGTCCGCGAGAATGATTTTCTGCGAGAATGACTTCATGAGGTTCCTGTTGGAGGCCTTTTGGCACCTGTGGTGCAGAATCCAAAACACGAGGCCCGCGATGGGCGCGAAACACACGGCCGCCAACAGCGGCAGGAACGCCGTAATCAAGTCAAGTCCGTCGCCAGACCTATTGGCTGGTCCTCGGGTGGAGTGCCCGGACGAGTCGTCGCCGGATGGCTGCGTTGGAACATCCGTTTGAAGAGTTGGTAGCGATTGAGACGCGGGAGTTGTTGTAGTTGTTTGTCGCGCGGCAGTGGGACGGGAGGCCGAGGCGTTCGCAGGTTTCGCGTGTAGGGGCTTCTTCTCAGTGGCGGCAGAGGCGGCGGTGGGCTTACGTGACGAGGGAGTGATAAAGACGGTATCTTTTGGCCTCTGAGGCGGTAGTTGTGCATTGATAAAGGGCGGAAAGGGCCGCCTCACGGGAACGCCTGCGTGCGAGGCAACGGCGCTGTCGTTGCGGTCTTTGACTGATTCAAAATTTCTGTCCGAATCTAATACTCTGACAAAGACTTCGATTTTGGCCTAAAAATAACATTTGAAAAGAATTTCGATGTTTAAGAGACTGTGCTTTGAATGCATGGATAAAAAGCGCTGAGAAAATAGATTTAATACTAAGTTATTCTCAACACAATTGACTCACCGTTTGATGTCCATCATTAGCCGTAATAAACAGATAGTAATCATTGCCAGCCTATGGGTCATAAAAATAGTTTTTTCTCAGTTTGTGTCAACACATTATTTTCTATTCGCAAAACCCATAAAAATCTGATAATTCTATAGAATAACGAGTTTATGGCTCAACAGTTGTGTGAGACTCTAATCACAGGTATTTTCGAAAGGCATTAAAGTTTGGAAAAATATTTTTTCTCGATCTTAGCTTAACATCCATTAGATGTTTGAAATGATATTTATTTAACATTTAAAGAAACCTTTTCTCTGCCATTCCTATTAAATGAGTTAATAAAATGAATTTATTTCTCCCGATTTGAATAATACCTTAAACTCAATAACTTTTAACGAGCCATACGTTTAATTCAATCGATAAATGGGGAATCAAACAAAAATAATCTAATTATTGAATTTTTTCTAAAGGAGTCAAAGTTTTTTATATTAAAGTATTTTAATATCTGGTTTTATTGGATGCGAAGGGAATGATGGATATAACGCCTAACCATAACAGGAATGCATAATAAATAAAATATTTACAGATATTTTGAACTATAATTTTGTGGCCAAAAAACTGAATAATATTTGTGTATATGATATGAACGCGATTTTGGATTTCAATGAATTCCAATGGGTGTCACATCTAAAAAATCATAGCAGAGTACCCGGATCTCTCTGAAATACATAATATGATAATATAAACAAAGTGGTGGTATTGTATGGACAGGAGTGCCCACTCCTAACCGGCACGAGACTCTCATACGCCTAACTACACAACACGCGTGTCATATGAATTGTGTTACGGTTTTAAACTAACTTTACTCCTGAATATCTAATGAGACTTTTGTTTAGCTTATAAATGAATAACACATTTGTACTAATAGTTAATGAATTCACGCGAAATTAAAACCAAGAAAATATGGTAAACGTATTCAGAGAAAAATGTATTGTCTTTCGGGTGATTGGCGTTGAATTCCTTATGATTAGGGCTTTAGTTGAGAGGAATTATTAATAATTTGCGCCAATTAGAGGAGTGCCACATATATAAGCAGTGGTACCTGTGCTCAGGCACTAGGCTTTGGGCCGCAATATGTAAGTTAGAGCCTATTCTCTCTCTCTCTCTCTCTCTCTCTCTCTCTCTCTCCAGCCTTGGAATGTCATCCCAACTGATGTATGATTTCGAGAGTGAGTTCTGAGCCGAGGGTTCTCTCAAACTATATATTTTTGCGATGCTTTAAACCAATTGTAAGTGAAGTGATTGCAACCCTACGAGTTTTTTGTGTGTGTGAGCTGGGTCGCCCCGGGCGCTCCAACACTAGCACTCAAAATATTTTTCTTAGAGCCACAAAAAGCGAGTCAACGATTTCTAGAAGAGATCTATAATTGGATTCCCGTTTTTTATATCAAAATTGATTAAAAAGTTTTTGCGAATCTACATAATTAGTGTCTTTAAAAATATGTTTCTTATTTTTGTTGTACACATAATTCGGAGCCAATGTCTGCTCGGAAAAAGTCGTAAATTTAAGTGTAATTTCTTGAATTATATATACTTTTTCTTTATGTAATTCTTGATCCCAAGTGATGGGCCGCTACTGTCAAAAAAGCCGTAGTTATGGCCCATTCAAGGGCACCACACGTAGACTCCACTCCACTCTTACATACGAGAAAACACGGGAGAGATTGTGTTGTGAATACAAGTGCTACCAGATTACTGATCGTATGAGAGGGGAAAGGGAAAAGGTTTGGCAGCTATGCCTTTGGCACTCTATTTTCTCTCTCTCTCTCTCTCCTCTAATATAAGCCCATCGTATGACAAACACAAGTGAGGCATAAACTCATTAAAAGAAATTTTTTACGGGTTTCACTGATGAGAAAGACAGGTGCGAGTGAGCGCCTGTATATATAATCGCCACTTACCTGTCCCAACAGAGACTCCTTAAGGAAAACATCACCGTTCTTGGGATTGATGGTGAAGTAGTTGGAACCGTCCAAAAACATGGCCTTATCTATGCTGTACTCTATTGAGTCCCTGTCTTCATCTCTGGTGCGGACGGTAATTATACGACTGCCTATGAAATACGGAGAAAAATGCAATCAACGGTTAGGTGTGTCTGCATTTGGAGCACATCTCTCTTTCTATATGATGTACTCTAGTCTATACTATAGACAAATATTTTCAGATCCATGTTTGGCAACAACCGAGAGGCAAAAATTCATTTCTTTGACCCTCCCTTTCAAATCGCAATCTATTTTTCTTTGAATGAATAAAGAAATGTTTTTATCGCTTAAAAGTTTTTATGACTTTTTTTAGGATTTTTTGCACATAATTTAATATAGTTTTTTTAAAAGTTTATTATATTCGCAAATCTTATTAAGTGATACGAGTTTACAGTACAGTATTTTCGCAAATGGATAAATGAATGGAAATCTTTGTATAAATCTAATCTCTCATTTAGAATAACCATAAACATTTTTAAAATTTTAAAATTACATTAAATTTTATGTATTTAAATTTACATGAATTAACTCTTAAATTAATAAAATTTTAAAATATTCTCGTAAACCAGAAACTAAATTAATTTTATCGGAAAAAGATTACCAAAAAACTTCAAATATTGAATATACTTCACGCAAACTATTATTATATGAATATTTAGTATTTAAATGATTAGATAAACAAAATCGCGATGTATTTGATCTAAAGAAGGCGAGTCCTATAAGTTATATAACAATCGCTTAAAAATACATTTAATTAAACAGTACTTTAAAGATAAAAGCAGTTTTCTCTCTGTCATTGAATAGCAGTTATTGACAAACAGTAAGCTCTTTAAAGATCCGTTTCGTGCGCTTTGTTTTACTTGATTTGCTTTTAATCACTAAATGATTCCCGTCTTTGACTCTCATATACATAGAGAGCAGAGCTAAAGATAATAAGAAAGAGAGCACTGAACTGAACCAACACTGACTGTTCCCTTCATAGGTATTGCCATATCTTATAATAAATAATATAAAGCATTTTGCAGGAGTAGCTACTGCTTCATAATAAGGTAGTTTCTGTCACGTTGTTCAGCACCAGCACCAGCCAACTCAACCAACAGCCCTGTGCTCTCTCTCTCTCTCTCTCTCTCTCTCAGCCATCAGATCCAATGTATAGCCAACTAATTCACGTATTTCTCTTCTGGAGCCGCACTTCCAACTGATAGTTATATAACATTACACACTAAAAGCAGACCTGACTTTGGGCTAAATGTTTCACAAAATAAACTATAAATTCGCATAAAAGGCAATCATTTGATATTTATTTTTATTTTTTCATTTCTCCGAGGCTTACACACCAGCTCCTAATCAATGGTGTGTCTCATTATATTATATAAATCTTATAAATCGATTAATTCTCTCATTCTCTCTCTCTCTCTCTCTCTCTTTCCCCTCTTTCATATACGAAATGCCATTATGTTTGCCATAACTTTTATTTTTGATTATGTTATCGAATATCAATTAATATCTTAAATTATATTCTTCTGGTTCTCTCAAAAAAGTTCATTAACAGAAAGACAGCGAAAAAATGAAATTAGAAAATAATTAATTTTCTCAAAAATTAATTTTGTGTCTTAACTTAAGACTTTTAAGCTTTAAATTGTTTGCAAGCAAACTATTTTTCGAGTGAATAATATACGAAAAGTTTTTAATGACTTGAAGTATCATTTGATATGCGATTGTGTGTTAAGAAAATTCAATTTAGTGACACAATTAGTTTCCCATTCAGCGCCGTAATCAGAGCCTGAAATTACGGCACTTACTGGCAATACCTGTCCGTATGGTTGCCTCAAACATAGATTAGATCTGAAGTATTGTATCCATAGTGTGAGAGACAATGTATGGTAGACATAGACATACCTATTGGCTCGTTCTCTGGTATAAGCCATTCGCGCTTGAAATCAAACACTGGAGGACTGTTGTGACCAAATCCAGGAAATCCAAACCCTTTTCATGATAATTCAAATCCAATTTAATTAAAATGCATTAAAAATAATGTACATAGTTTGCGAGATAATTATTCTAATTTTTTTATTTATATTTATTCTTGTATTAATAAAAATAGTGGTTTTATAAATAGATGTCAGAAAAAACATGAATGACTGCTAGACTCTGTGTTATCTTAACAATGAATTACTTAATATCACACATAATGTTAGCGAAAAAAGTTTACAAACTTTGTTCCCATTATTATTCGCAACGGGATTTCGAGTTAAAAATGATTGAAATGTAATCACTTTGTAACCAATTTATTGCTAAATAATTCAAAAAGTTTATTTTGCATAACAGAGATAACCTGACATTTATTTTACTTATTCGCTACGAAATCCTCAATGTATTCAAATAAGTTTCATATTTTAATTTTAAAGTCATGATGACATGGATTACGTGCATTCAAAATAGGTTTTCGAAATACACATTTGAATAATAGACTAGTTACTAGGTATAATTAATGTGTAAACAATATTTTAGGTTATGTTTATATAACTATAGCGGACAATACAGAGAAATATGTTTTTGATATTCAAAGTCTGGTGTAATAAATGAGCGATAATTGTGATGAAAATGATTGAGTGGAAGAAGATCACGAAGATTTGTTGGCAATGTTGTCAACTCATACCTGAAGTGGTTGTGCACACTAGGAGTGTAAGCGTGAGCCACGACACTACACGAGTGGTTAATATCATTGTTCATCAATACACTGAACATATATTTCGCACAAACTTCTTACAGACACATCACACACTGTATTAAACTATTGTTTTAAAACTTTATGAAAGTATTAAACAATTAGACACACGGGTTGTAGACTACATATTGTCATTGATTTGCAATTGATTTGAGAGCAAAAACATTGGAGACGCCGAGAAGTTGTTGTATTTGTTGAGCAAAACACTGGTCTGTCTCAGAGATACAGAGAGAAGAATCAGAAGCGAATCCTTACCAGAAAAAAGTTGAGCACAAAAAATGTCGGCTTCAGGAGTTGTCAGACAACTTATGAACTGAACTTTTCTAAAGAGGGCAACATTTAAGGGCCAAACCCCACATCTCTCTCTCTCTCTCTCTCATACCAGCGCTGGAAACAGTGGAAAGATGGGCGAAGAAAATAGGGTCATCTCATAAGATGAACACCGGAGTCGTTACACTTGAGCGCCGATAATAAACGCTTCACAACAACTGCATTGCATTGCATCGCAAACCAAAAAATGCCACAAAACTGTAGTTTGAAGAGAGGTTTTGGCGAAACTCGTTTCGCGTCTTGCGATCAAACATTTCGATCAAACTCTTCTCAAACAGCGAGTTATAAATCAATTGAATGCAGATTTAGCTCATAGTATAAGATATTGGGCAGAGAGGGAGAGAAGTGAGTCTGTCTTTTGTCAAGTCATTGGACCACAGATTTAGAGCTCGACTTAAGACACTTATTATCATATTTGAGACCCAAATAACAAATAAGAAATCCCAGATAAATATATACACGCTATTCGTATCGCAAATTGTTTTCTAGGAATTCCCAAATGCAATGCATTTTAGTCCAAATCATAGCTTGTGTTAATACTTTAAATAGTGTTTTGTGGCTAAAAATGAGTCCAAACATAGTGCGAGTGTGTATTCATGAGAATTGAGTTTACACTTTGGATAACAATAACAATTTGTTTAATTATTTTTTCGTCATAATTCTATAGAAAAACAATTTATACTTTTTTTGTGCAAAAAGTCTGTTATTATTAATAATTTCTTTTTTAATAAAATGTTTTCAAAACTACGAAAAATTATATACAAATTAAAACAATTGAATAAAACAAATTCTCTGAAACAATCATATAATTGAATGATAAATAACTTATTATACAATTTGTTACCACAAGACGTACTGTTGAGATATCTTATGCAAGTGATCACACGATGGCGTCTTTAATCCTTTAGCCCTATCTTCGAGGTCTTTATCCCTAAAATTTCTGGCCCTCCATATCATACTCTCCTCTGTTATGGGACACAAACAGACAAACCATTAATGAGAATCAATAAGTGATACAAAACAAATAGTAGACATAAAAATAGACATCAAAATAGACATCAAAATAGACATCAAAATAGAAATCAAAATAGACATCAATTCGTACTATAGTTTCGTTCCCTAAAACAAGAGGCCCTTAAGTTGGAGACGTAATCCTCTTCCACCTGTTGCTCAATACGACGAATGGATCCCTTATTTTCGCGCTCGAAGTTCTCCTTCACAAAGTAGGGCACCTCCAGGTTCTGGGTCTTCCTCTCGTACGAGTACTTCCTATTACATTGTATTCAACACATTGTTAGGCACCAGTAAACAGTGAATCCAATCAATACACCAACACTTTTACTTATTAACACTCTGTTTGCAATTCATTATAAACTTACTGTTAAACAGTAATTTCATGTTTGATTCAATGTATTACATAAACTCTCATACGGTATTGATAAGTGATTATTTCATAATGGTACTTTTAGTACTGTACTATTCTAGTATGTACCGGTACACTAGAAATATAAATTTGTTTTCAAATGTTATCGATTCATGCATTTTATGCATTTCACGCAATTGTAAACATTTGCAATCTTAGTTGACATTAATCTAAACATAACTTCTAATCCAATCAATTAAACAGCAAATGCACTGATTTTCGTACAAAATTAACTTTAGCTACAATTGAACGAAACCTCACGACATGAATGGCGAACAGAGTGCGAGTAACTGTCTTAATGTCCACAAGACTTACTGCGTTCGGCTCAGACTATAGGTCGGATCGGATACGAAGAACGTACTCATGAGTGAGAGGCAGAGGAGCACTAAGACGGGCATCATTTGCAGCAACACGTTATAACCGGAGGCCACCTCTTGGGTCTGGTTGTTGTGGTGCCGATGGGTCTCGCGATACCTATTGTTAGTCCGGCGCACGTATACGTTGCCCGACGGGAAGCCGCCGCCGAAGAACATGTTGAAGATCTCGTCGGCGTTGATATCGCCGTCGAAACCCCGGTTGTAGTCGTAGTAACCGTTTTCGTAGTATTGGGTTTGACTCCGCTTTCGCTGCTCCTCCTCCGAGCCGTACATATCGTATTGCTTGCGCTTCTGGGCGTCGCTCAAGACGGCGAAAGCGGTTCCAATCATCTTGAAGGCCTCGGCGGCGCCGGGAGCCTTGTTTTTGTCCGGATGGAACTGGAGGGCCAGCTTCCGGTACTGTTTCTTCACGTCCGAGTCCACGGCCTCCTTAGTCACGCCTAAAATCTCGTAGTAATCCTTACACTTCTTGATCTGCTTGACGGCCGCCAACTGCTCGTCGGTGTACTCCCGATGACTGCCACCACCGCCGCCACCACTGGTGGGGCCATGACTTGTATGACTATAACTGGCGTTTGAATTGCTGTTTAAATTAGATTTGTCTGCATTTCGACCGAAACTATTGGATCGCGATCTCTGTCCAGAGGGCGAGTCCGCGTCCGGCGGCTGCGGATCCGACGGATCGCCACTCGCGTTGTCTTCGGCTTGTAATTTGTCCATTAAATCTGTGCGAAACATACAAATCGTGGCATCAGTTACACGGGTGATCATAGCGGTGGTGGTGGTAGTGATGACAATGACATACCATTGGCCTCTTGCGATGGGAACAGTCGCTGCGCTTTCATCAGGAATTTAATGGCTTTTTGTGTCTCGTTTTGAGCGATCAATGTCTTCGCCAAACGTATGCACCGCTCGCTCTCATCCCTATTGCCATCCATTTGGACCGACGATTATGACCGCAAATACTCGATAATAGACGCGACCACTCTTTGCGGCACTAATTGTTTCCCAAAACGCGTCAATCAAATGAAACCCTTCACAAGTAAATCATAAATAAATCGGTGTTTAAGACGACGTCATTGTATGACTGTATGAGTGCTTAGACTCAGCCATACATTCAGTGCAACCAATCGATCACTTCTTCTACACCTCTACTGCACTGCAGACACCTCTACCCCATCGTCTGATTGTCACAAATGCTGTGTTCATTGAAAGAGTGATGCCATTGAAGAGTGTGTTGTATATCGCACTCAAATCAGTGGTCAGTCTGACGCGTGTATGAACTGGAGTGACAAACAGGTGGCCAAAGAGCTGCTCAATAGACGCCGCAAAATGAGTGAAAGACGAGATCGGAGGCCTTCAAGAGTTCCCAATCCTGAGTGGAATAGAAACGAATTCGTCCACCAATTTGGACGTATCGTACAGTGTTTGCAGTTTGTTAACCGTATTCTTCATGACAAACCCCTCCAAGTGTGAGCTCTCTCTTTCTCCTTTTCTTTCTTTCTAACTTCCCCCTTTTCTTTCTTTCTAACTTCCCCCTTTTCTTTCTTTCTAACTTCCCCCTTTTCTTTCTTTCTATCTTCCCCCTTTTCTTTCTTTCTATCTTCCCCCTTTTCTTTCTTTCTAACTTCCCCCTTTTCTTTCTTTCTATCTTCCCCCTTTTCTTTCTTTCTAACTTCCCCCTTTTCTTTCTTTCTAACTTCCCCCTTTTCTTTCTTTCTATCTTCCCCCTTTTCTTT